CTCCTCACCTTATTCCTACATGAACCCCTTCCTCTGGAGAAGAGATGGTCTACCAGCAAGGCCAGATCTCAGGAAGGGTCCCCACCGACAGAAGCTCCAATCCTCAGCCTCGCTGGATTGTGGCGCTGTTATCATCGGCCACTCTAATATGCACCCCTGTTGGGACCCAGCTCTTCATGGGGCTGTACTACAGCTCAGTTTCTGTCCAGGGCAAAGCTCAGCCTGGGGTTTACTTAGGATATCTGTTGGGCTAGAAGTAAGAGTCAGAGTTGGGGGCAAAGTAAGAGCTAACTGGGGCTGCTATGGTTTGGCTGTACCCCCCAAAGTTCATGCACTAGAAACTTAACCCCTAGTGGCACAAAGCAGGAAGGTAGCACCTTTAAGAGTCAGTGAGGACCTGAGGGCTCTGCCCTGAGAATAGAGCAATGCTGTTGTCTCAGGAGAGTGTTAGTTATCGTGGGATGTGCTCAGCCCTGTGCCCTCTCTGTTCTTACTTCCACATCCTTGTCCTGCTGCCACCACGTGGGCCCTCAATCTCGCACTTCCCAGCCACCAGAACAAACAACATCTTTGTTCTTTATCATCTACCCAGTCTGGGGTATTCTGTTACAGCAACACAAAGACAGGCTGATCAGGGATCCTCTCCAGCCAGGGATGGGCAAGATGAGGCTCAGGGCTGAGGATTTTTGGGGCACCACTAACAATGAGGCTTAGATCCTTTGGGCTCTGAGTGGCAAGATAGTCTCTGTCTTTAAGATTTTTAAATCAGTCTCACCGTTCCAAAGTAAATTTTCTGCTAATCAGGATGGCAGAACTGAGGGAGCGAGTTCCATACTCCCGGTATGGCTCAGCACCTCAGGCTGCTCTGCCCTCAACCCAGCCAGTGGCTCCTCTCCTAGATCCTTCTTTACCCTCCTCCCGGTGGCAGGCCTGGTCCTCCACAGAGGCTCTCATGGGGAGGCTGAGGGTGAGGCAGGTTTGGGCACCCAGGTGCGGGAGCTCTGGCCTCCTGCCAGACAACGTGAGAACAATGTATCACTTTGTTTTCCTCCAACTGAAGAAAGCGCTTTGATTTGTACATGGATAACTCATTGCTTTATAAACTTTTAACTTCTCTGCAGACTTTGCCCTCCTTCCCCTACAGCGGCTTCATCCAGCCAAGCCTGAGCCCCAGAGCACCATGAGATGTACGGGCCCTGTGGCTCCTTCCTGTGCCAGCATGGAGAACAGGGCTTATTTTAGAGCAGGAGAAACAGGTGTCAAGGTTGCCCAGGAGGCTGCTCTCTGCAAGGGGCCAAGGGCTCAGGCTCCAGATGCACAGCCCCAGTCCCGTTACCACCTATCTCCAGCCCAAGCTGCACGCTCTCACTCACTGAGACTAAAACTCAAGGGGCACCTTTTGGTATGGAGGAGTTTGCTGTATGTTAATTCAGGGTGCAGAGGGAGCAGAGCCACAGGCCCTGTGGAAGCTTAGCTACCCATCTCTTTCCTGAGCACCTTTCCCATGGTCCTGTGCTTCCATTTGCAAACCAGGATGGCTTAGTGCTGTGCACTGGCACCCTCGAGACAACAGGCTCTCAGCCCAGAAGACCGCATGGCAGAGATGGCGCTGGGCCCCTCTGGGAGGACCTGCGGCCGGGCCAGAGCGCCTATGTCTCAAGATTCCGTCTGAGCTCCTGAGCCTAGTGTTCCACACAAGGTGCCGGCAACCAGTTCTGATCTAAGGAAAGGCTACTGCAGAGGGGTGGGGGCCTTGTGTACAAGGAGCGGGGATGCCCCTGAAGCCTTCTCCCAGCATCGCTGCAGCTCAGCCCTCACCTCCCCACCTGATCCATCCATGCCCCAGCTGGCCCCCGTATTTATAAACCATATGTCTCTGTGTCCTTGCCTGCCCTGACTGTTTGTACAAAGCTTCAGCTGCTTCCCCTGATAACCAGAGGACCAGAGGTCCTGGGGAACTGGGAGAGGTCCAGGGCACATAGAGGTCAAGGATGCTCTGGTGTGTTCCTCCCCCAACCCCCACCAGCTCAGGCACCTTCCACGGCTCCCAGTGAATGTTGCAGCCTCTGATGCATAGAACATCGTCAAAAACGCTGTTGCAATTCTCCTGTAAGGTTTTGATTTCTGTTGTTGCCCCCAGGAGCAACTGGATGGCTTGGCCCAAAGCCTCAAAGTCCAGTGAGGAAATTCCGGCCCGGAGAGGGGAAGGGAATTGCTGTGACGCACACAGTGAGGCCATTTGCAGTTCTCTCTACTCCACTCCTCTACCTTTCTGCCCAGCCAGCACAGACAAACAGAAAGAACTCATCCTAGAGCCCAGCAGCTCTAGCTCTGTTTTCTGGCTTTGGCTTTTTAGCTCTGCAACTTTTGGCTGGTTGCCTAACCTCACTGGATCATAGTTTGTTCGTTTATAAAATGTAAATATTGTCTTTTATTTAATACCCAACACCCAGAATAGTGCCTGACTGCAGGAGCTCAGTAAATATTTCTCAGCTGAATGAAGGAGTGAACAGTTCTCACCTCATTTGTGAGCGTCAAGCGAAGAGGTGAACGTTAAGCCTCTGCACAGTGCCCAGCACTCCCCAGGGACGTTGCCGGTGGATCTCCTCTTGACCTTCACCGACCCGCCAGGGCTCGGTCAGGGATCCCCAACCCCCAAGGCCCTGACTCCAGCCTGAAACACACAGCACCTCCAGGCTCCCCCATCCCAAGCTGCCGCTTCAGCCCTGGCCCCCCTTTTCTGTCCACACCACAGCCCTGCACTTGGCTTCTAGGGAGCAGCACCCCTTGCCTCCCCTGGGACTCCAGACACCCTCTCCTCTCCTCTGTTCCGCGATGGCCCCAGCCTCTGTGAGTAGAATCTCCAGGGCTTGGGGCACAGGAAGCAGTACTGTGCTCAGTGCAGTCCTGGAATGTGGGCTTCAGAACCCCCCAGGGACAGAGAACAGAGAGACCAAAATTGGCCACAGCAAAAGGCAGCCAGGGTTGATAGCCAGAGTTTGCTCAGCAGAAAGAGATAGGCTCCTGCTCTGTGACTGCCCTGCGCTGGCACTGACAGATCCCTTCCCCCAACCTCAGTTTCCCAGCTCAGGATTAGGTGTGAGGTGGTATGCTCAGCTCAGCGACCTCCGGATCTTGCCTGGAGTTATAACGTCGTCATGTCCAGCTGCCTGCAGACCCACAAATAAACACAGCTGTTCCAGGGTACCCCAGCCCGGCCTGCCATGAGGCCCAGCACCTCCTCAATTCACTAGGTCCAGGACCTGCCCCGAGGTCCCCACAAAGGTCCACACAGCAGCTGCTTGGCCATGGGGTCACCAGGTCTTCTTAGTGTCCAGCAGGGTTGGAATCTGCAGATCTGTGGACAGGGGTCCCGGAGTGCTAATCCTGAAAGGCCCTCTCTGGCAGCTTCCTAAGCATGGGCTGAGGTGCACAGGTGCTTTTTCCACCTACATAAGCCCGGATGTGCAATGGAGCCTTGGCCTGGATGGGTCTCACTCCAGTAGACAGGGTGGAGAGGGTCCTGCCAGTGAGAGCCTGCAGTGGTCCCTCCGGGGCTTCCTCCTGTGCTATGTGACAGGGGATCGAGGCAGGGAGGGCTCCCCTGGGCCCTGGTGAGGCCAAGACCTAAGCAAGATGAGGGGCCGTGTCGGTGGTCACAGGCTCCCGGGCTGAGTGTCAGCCTGCACCTTTGGGAGGTAGGCAGACAGCAGTTGCTTGGCCGTGGGGTCACCAGGTCTTCTCAGCATCCTGGAGTTTCCAAGGAAAGACTTGACTCCTTTCCCTCTGCGTGTCACAGACACCAGAGTGGATCAGTCCCAGAGCCCCGAAGCTCAAGTCAGGCCAGAGGTACAGAGACAGGTGAGTAGAAATCTCAACAACAAGACTTCAAGGCCAACACACATAGAACATGGATTCCTGGCAGGAAATTTTAAAAAGCTTTGGGGAAAAATCCTACAGCTGAGAAAGTCTGGGGACTCTTAAATTTAATTTCCACTGTATGAGTGGAGAAACAGCCCCAGAAGGGAGAAGGGCCTGGTCCCAGGTACTGTCCTGAGTCAGGGCCAGAGGAAGCCTAGAACTCTGGCCCCACTCCCAGCTCAGTGCTCCTTGCACTGCTGCTGGCTGTGCTGACCCAGGCCGCAAGGAAGCCCCCGTGCGCTGGGACCACTCAGGAGGCCCTGGGTCAGCCTGTCTCGGAAAGGTCCAGGTGGGGCTCACCTCCGCCCTCCACCGCCTTTGCCCAGAGCTCCAGGGGCTTGGCATGGACACCAGTCCCAGGGAGGACAGTCAATGATTCATGGAGGTTCTGTCCCTGGGGGCCTTCTCTGAGAGTGCCAGGCACCTGCTGCCCTGCTTCTGCTCCTGCACACGCTCCCCAGCAGGGCAGGACAGGGTTAATCAGTGATGAGCTAGGAGGCACAGGCACTCCTGGTAGGCGGGTCCCACCACCAGCCCACCCCAGCCCCTGTCTTCCCCCCTCCCCGTCCTTTTCCCCCTTCCCTCCCCCCTCCTCCCCTCTTCCTCTCCCTCCCTCTCCCTCTCTTTCTCTCATACACACTGCCCTCCCACCTCCTCAGCACCTCATTCTGAACTCTGAAACTCTCCCTTCTCTCACACCTGTCCCCAGGGGAAGTTTTGATAAATGAAGTCACCTTAGGGTTTTAAACCAGGGAATCTGAAAGCTGAGAGGCCCTCGGAGATAGCACGCAGGCCAGTCTTTACAATACAGCTTTTGTAGACAACACGTGCTCTGAAATAATAATCCACATTACTTCCAACAGAGTGTTCTGTGGACAGACAAGTTTGAGCACTGGCTTAAATCAAGTGAGTTTTTCCTGCAGCACTTGCCAGAGCGTCTGCTGTGTGAACCTGAAGGATGGGTCTTCAAGAGGGCAATGCAGTTTCTGAACCCAACCCACATCTGTGAAAACCCAACCCCACAGCTCCAGCAGCTGGGACTGCCATTTTGCAGGGACCTCAAAAGGCAGGTGACCCACCTGAATCCAATCCACTTGCTTGGGCCTTGGCCAGGGGTGTGATGTTGCCTGTGGCCCCAATCACCACAGCTGCTAAGTTCCTTTCAAATCTAACACTCTAGGATTTTCCTCTCAAAGAGCTCCCCAGGGGAAAGCAGGGTAGCTTTATACACAGGGAGAAGGAAGGGAAGGAGCAGGGAGCTGGGGCCCTCAGAATCTTCTGGAAGGGAAGATGCAGCCAGTGAGGCATTCCTGGGCCTGGCGTCTCTGGGCCCCACATTCCTGCAGGCAGATGTGCTGTTCCTCCACTCCTAGGAGGTCACTGGCAGCTGTGGAATTCTTGGAGTTTGTCTCGGATGGAAGGTGCCACTGGCTTATGAGTCCCAAGCCAGGTGCACAGATGACTTCCGGGAACTTCACGAACAGTTGAACAGAGTCATCTCACCTCAGGGCCCAGGAATCCTCCCTTGAGGTGTGGAACAGGGCCACATCCACAGGTCTCCAGAAAGGCAGATGAGAGGGGAGATGGGTAGGGTGAGGCAGGAGACAAAATAAGGCTGGTGTAGAGGGCCAGGAAGTCCTGCATGCCCACCACTCTGCTGTAGAGGTCCAACCCCGGTGAGTGAACCGCAGGACGCTGGAAAGGGAGACGAACACTCACCTTAGGACTCTGAAGTGTACCAGGCAGTTGGCTCATGCCAGGGGGCCTGTTGGAACTGCAAGCCACATCTCCTTTGACTGGCCTCCAAAACCTACCTCTGCTCTGACATGAAACCAGCTCTATTCACACTACACTTTCCTAAACATGGGGGTCACCTCCAGGGCCCAGCTGCATGGGGATATGCACTGAGCACCAGGAATAAACAAAAGCATGTATCACGTTTCTCATTGAAAAAAGTCTCCCTGATAAGGAAATAATGATACGGTGTATAGCTGATCCAAGGAAGGAGTTTACCCATGGCTTTTAGCCGAGAAGGTGGAAGGTGATGTGGGCACTGTCAGCCCAGCTGGACAGTAAGGAGAGGGTGGCTTCCAGCAGAGGACTTGCTCCTCACAGCAGGACACATCAGTGTCATCTCCTGCCTCCTGTGATGCTAGTCCACCCTGTGACAGCATCTGTGCAAGGGACCCTCAGTGTTCACAGCTCCAGCTGGACTAAAGGAAGCTTTCCTTGGAGTTCAAGAAAATGACCAGAAAGTGGTGAGATGCTCAAAACTTCTCCCAGCAGGCAGGTCCCTCACAGGACCTAGGAGACCTGCAGGGCTCCACAGTCAGCTAAGAGTGAGTGTGGGCAGCTGGCAGACAGACTCAACAGCATTCTCCAGGAAGCAGCACACACACAAGCACGTACACATGCAGCCATGCACACACACAAATGCACACATGCACACCATGATTCAAAATACCTTCACACCTTCATGGTGTGGCCTGGCATTACCTCCAGCTAGCAACTTTAAGCTTATATACTTTAAATGAATTTCTTGGTGATGTAGATTTAATTCATTTTGGTTTGCTATCTATTTGAGTTGCATGATGAAAAATACAAACCAAGCTAACACAGCAGCAAAGTTCAAGGAGACATTGCCCACTTTTAGAATGTTCACAGCTACAGCAAACGGGGCTCTGATCTGAGGTCTGTCTTCATCCTATAGGTTTGCTCTTTTTGGACTAGACTCATGCATAGTCTCTCCTCCACCCTCTTCCCTTAGGTCACTGTGGCAGAGGGAAAATAGATGAGAATCTTCTCCAACCTGTGGATCTGTCACCTACTTTGTAGCTTACTGAAAAGTGTGTACCATGTCCCCCCTAACAAACCCAACCAGGTCAGCCTCCTGGAGCCAACATTCCACATGGGTGCAGGCAGTGACAGGCAAACCTAGTACAGCCCATTGTGGTGACATCTTATAGAGAAAGGGCAACTGTGGGCTGAGGACATTTCTCCAGTCTCTGACTATGTGGCAGGCCTTGTCCTTGCCTAGGCTGCCTGAGGTCACGGAGTCCAGATCTAAGTACTGCCCTGGCCCGTCCTGTGACCATCACTTAGAAGTGTCTTAGGACAGATTAGAGAATGAATCAAAACAGGGTGTTCAGGGATAAGTCACCCCCATCCCTGAACACACATGCACACTTTGTCCTTGGTTCTTTCTGTACAGACAGTTCCTTCACGTGTATTGAATGCTATCTTCCACCCATAACTTTTTAATAATATTTTAAGAACAGGTAAAGCTGTAGTTGCCCGATGGCTGAGGATTAGTTGTGCCTCACCCCTTGTCTCATCAGTGTATAGGAAAGAACAGAAAAATAAGAGAAATTCTACATGCAGAGAAGGTGGCTTTATTGGGATGAGTAGAATCCTACAGTCTGTGGGAAGCTCATTGGCCTTTTGCCACAGACCTCTGCTCACAGGTTGGTGAAGCTGGCCCTGTAAGTGAGGGCTTTGCCTGACTTCCCTGCCTATGTGATGTTCTACCTATGTCCCTTCCTCCAAGGTGATGGACAGTGAACCTTGGGTCATTAGGCTCCAAGAACAGCCTCACCCAGCCCCATGCTCAGCAGCAAATTCCACTCATCGTCCTCATTGTATTCTAAACCTAAAGAAAACAAGGCATCATGCCCAGCAGCTCGCCCATAAAACATTAATCACTATCCCCTCCTTGAGAGGCTTCTGACCAGTGAAGGTATGCCCTACAGGAGCGGTGGAAAATCCCAGTGGACCAGCACAGGCCCAGCCATGCCACAGGCAGTGGCCTGGCACAGGTTCCTCCAGTGCTTTTCCAGCCCAGCTCCTCGCTCCAGCTCCAGGGACACTGAGGACCAGCCTGGGAACCCCAAAGGAGAGACAACCAAGTCCTCAAGAGGTACCAGGGTCCTTGGGGTTTAGTGGCAGGGGGCTTCCTGAGCCATGCACACCTTTCCATCTGGGCCCTCACGGAACCCATGCAAGCCTGGAGTCTGGGCCAGAATTATAGCCACAGACCCCCTTAAAGTCCATCACATCTGTGCTTCACCACTTGCCTGATCCTACAGCAAGTACCTTCAGAGAGTCATTCATGTCAGCACAACTCCAGTACCTGGAAAAGGAGTCCCCTTCATGCTGGAAGAGGAAAGAAATATCAAAAGAGAAAATATAGGCTGTAAGGACTCCTAAATGTTCCAAACCCAGGATGGACTGACCCAGTGCTTGAGATCATACATATATATTCCAGGGAAACACAACCTCCAGCTGATAGGAACAGTTGTCACAGGGCTTGGACCGATGCTCCTTGGGAAAGGTTTTGCAAAATCCTCTGATCTGCTCTAGGGTTCCTGGGGGACTTAGAATACAAGGGACAATTGTAGAACCATAGCTTCTTACTATGGTGAGTTTAATGGAAAGACAAATGTTCTAGGCTTCAGTGGCTGCTAGATTACATCCTGCTTCCTCCTCAACCAGGCGCAGAGGGGTGCAGCTTTCCACACTGGCTAAGCCATCCCCCCCGGGTCTACCTCAGGGATCTGGCCAGGCAGGAGTCTGCTAAAGGAAGTGACCTGTGGTTGGTCTTAACAGAGACCTAGCCAAAGGGGCACAACAGGTCAGGGCACCTCACGTGGGCAGCCACCTGAATGCTTAGCAGACTAGGGACGAAGGTTGAGTCCTAGAAGCTTTCAGGAAATTTGCTCTCTCAATTAAATTTGGATGAACAAAACAGACAAGGACTCCAGTTAGAGCCCCCAAACCTCTCCTCTATGCTGTGCTGGGCAAGACAGCACAGGGGCAGCGGGAAGTTGAGAAGACCCAGGGAGATGGGTGCCTGGAGCCCTGAGCCCATGGGCTGGAGGACAAGTCTAGGCCAGCCTGCCCCAAAGCTACTGTGTCGAGGCCTAGTGGGTAACCAAGGCCTGTCTCAGTGCATCATTAGCTCTCGTGATGCAGCACTGCCTTTCCCTTTCTCCTGAGCAAGCAAGTTTATCAGCTGTTTTACTCCCAGAGGGAGGGATAGTCAGGGATAGGGATAGTGCCAGGGAGCAGCCTCAGCCTGGTGGTGCTAGTGTATCTCAAGCTGACACCACTTCCAGGCAGCCCTGGAATGAAAGGGGCTTCTCCTGATGCCACAGGCTCCCAGGTTGGCCTTGCTCCCTTTCTCCTCTCCCTCACTGCTCTGTAGGATGGGGCACAGCTGCAGTGCAGGCTGGCTGTGGCACTGCCCCAGAGCTAAGCAAATCCCAGTCCTTCAGTCAAGCAGAATAGGTTCAAATCTCAGTTCCGCCACCTCGGACAAATCTGCTCAACTTCAGGGGTGCTCAGTATCTTCCATAAATGGGGACCTCACTACTTTCCAAGTTGCAAAGACATGAGAGAATGTACACACTGTCACAGGAGGCTTCTCATATGTACTAGGTGCTCCAGTAGCTGCAGTTCCTGGCCTGCTCTCTGGCCCTACCTCTGGGCTAAAAGAATCTAAAAGTCGTAACTTCTGGAAACAATGTCACAAGAAAGGCTCTGTTAAGGGATGGAGGTAGAATGGGTTGAGGATGGCTGGGCCCAGGTAGGCGTAGAGAAGGCTCCACACCTAGGAGAATGGAACAGTGTAAGGAGATAAGCCTGGAAAGGCTCTGAGAAAGGCTGGGTACACCCCACAGATGGGGCCCAAGCACACCAAGCCAGCCTCTACCACTCCTGCAGCCTCATGGTCCCTCTCCCGTACCAGCCCATCCTGAAGCTGAGCAGTTTGCATGGGCTGAGGCTCTCGAAGCCCCAGCGCACACTAGAAAAAGAAACGCTGTTCCCACAACACTGACACAGCCCTCACGGGGTGACCGTGGTTCCCTACCTGCCCCAGCTTTCCCTGAGTCACATCAGCCTGGAGCTCTGCAGAGGGAGCAGGGCATGTGTGCCTCGCAGAAGCAGCATTGGGGTGCCTCCCTACATACCTCTTCCCTGCTCGGTTCACTTCCTGCCAACACCTGTCCTTGTGGCCTGGGGAGATGATTATGGGTTGGTGGTTTTCAAAGCCTCCAGACACCAGGCCTCAGTGGAAGACACAGCCTGTTCCAGGCCTGTTTCCTGTCACCAGGCACTCATTCTTTCAACAGAGTTGTCCCTGTTTAGGGCAAATAGCCCTAAGCATGTGTGTGTGAGGGGATCAAGGGAAAGCCAGGTCCAAGTCTCAGCTGAGGGAGCCCTGAAGAGCCAGCCCATCCCCCACAGGCCCAAGATCCCTGGGGTAGAGCTTGTGGGCCCCAGTACCCAGCCCAGGTGTGGTGAGATCCCAAGGCCGAGTTGAGGGAGGTGGGGGAGAGGCCTGGCAGATCTGTGGCTCCCAGGGACCTGTTCTAAGGGAGGGGACAGGGATGAACATGGTTGTCAGACTTCCACCTTGCTTTCTCCATCTCTTGCATCCTCCAGAACCCACACTGCTTAAAATGATGAGGACCTCTGCCACCCTCAGCTACCCCAAGACCTTCAAGGTCACCCCACCAGGCTCCAGAAGCCTCCCTCCCAGGGGCAGGATCCTGTGTGCATCCAGGGTTCTGTGCTGTGGCGGTATCCCTCCCCAGGGACCACGGATCTTAAGCACAGTGGGGAGGCTATGTCCCCACCTCACACTGAGTCTTAATAGAGAGGCCCAGAGAACACTTGAGGGGATGCAGCACCAGAAGAAGAAAAACCATAGGAACCAAGAGGACATTATAAATCATTTTCCTTTATTGTCTTAACATATAAAATTCCAATTCCAAAGAGACATAAATGCTGAGCAGACAGATGTAGGGTCCTGGGACACAGCAGCCAGAACCAGGCAGGGCTGGGTCTGCCCCTCCCACTCCATCACAACCATTCCCGCTCTTGGCCCCTGGCCATTGCCTGGGCAAAAACTGAGAAACTGAGAACAAAAGGAATCCACCTCACGGTCCAGGGAGGAGCTAGACATGGCCTTGGTTGCCAGAATGGACAAATCATTATCTAGCTGTGGGACCTCAGGCCTCAGTTTCCTTATCTGCTAAAGAGGCTGGAAGATCCTACTGGAGAACGGGAAAGGGAGAGTGCAGATGTGATGTTCTGGTGACCACTTACAGCTCCCATTCTGCCTCGTGCTCCTAAACATCTGCATGATTGATTGTGTCTCTTGGCTTATGTTGGCATCATGGCTATGGCACAGTAGTGGAGCTGCTCTGGCCTGGTGGAAGCCAGAGGACTTTCGGACTTGTAAAGTGGAGTGGAAGATATCAGCCTCAAAGCAGACTCTGCTTTGAACTTTCCCTGGGCTGCAGCAGGAGCTACCTTATCAGGTCAGGGCTGACCTCTCCCCTCCAGGTCAATGAGGAAAGAAGGCTATGGTCTGGGGTCACACAGCAAGCCGGTGCTGCTCACCCAGCTGCCCCAGATGGCTCTAACCATGACCTGAAGAGCAAGGGTGGGAACTGTTCTTCGCTGCTCAGGATCAGCTCCAAGCTTGGAACCCCTTTGAAGGGCATCTGTCACCACAGCCTGATTCGCGTCAGAATCTTTCTGTCATAGGACTTGGGGCCTCAGATAACCCAGGTACTCTTTATTAAACACACCCACGTAACAATGTCCTGAGTTTATGCTGGAATAATGTTGAAGTCTGTGCTGTGATAGATGGAAGGACCAGCTAAACCTCAGTGGGGGAACATGAATGTCCTTCCTTCACCCTTCAAATGACCTTCACTCTACATCAACAGGTTCTGTCTAGAGAAGCTCCCCTACTACCAACAACCTGTGGCAGGGAACATGCGCCTTCAACCACCTGGACCACCTGTCCCTCTCTGCCTGGAGCTCATCTGCAAGAATACATGGTCACACAGATGTGAATGCAGCTTCACACTTAGGAAAGAGCTCAGGACAAGTAGACGGAGCTGTGCTGTCTAGGCCATGCCTTTGGAACCTCTGGTGCTCTCCACACAGCTCTCGCTGTACCACTTACAGATGGAGGTCACTGAAGCCCTGAGACAGGGGCAATTCCAAGTCATGCAGCGAGTCTGGATGGGGGGTACTCTAGGAGCAAGCCAAACTGAGGAGTAAATCTTATCTGCCGTCTGCACCCCTCTACCTGTCCTCTTTTCCGCCAAGTACTTTTGGAGCCAGTGTCTATCAGGGAAGGAGGGCATTTCCCAAAGGCACTAAGGCAGTACAGTGAGTGGGACCTCAGACCCCTCTGGCAGGTGAATTGGCAACCAACTTTGCGGTGAGGGGGAACTTTCTGGCATACCTCCCATCACACTCTAGGGGACAATAGCAGATGAGTCCCTCTCTTTCACTTCTTCAGTGACAAGGGAGGGGTGAATTGGTGAATCTTGGTCCCCAGGAAGCTTTAAGGCCAGGGAACAGAGAAAGAAGGAAAGTGAGAGGAATACCTCCAACGAGGCCTGACCGTGCAGGGTTGGCAGACCTTGGGGAGTGACTTTGGCCAGCTTGGCAGAGTGTCTACAATATGGATTTCATCCCTCCCCTCCCTCCGCCCGTCCCTGCCCCTGCCCCCCACGTGGATGCTTAGACCAGGCCCTTCTATTTGGGCTTCATCTCCACCCTGGAGTTGATGTCGTCTGCATCCAGGTCGTACTCCTCGACCTGGCCGCTGGTCCACACCTTCATGCGGTCCGTGAGGTCACTGCTGCGTGGGGCCAGGATGAAGTCATAGATCAGCACTGCCAGGGCTGCCCCGATGAACGGCCCCACCCAGAAGATCTAGGAGCAGAGCAGATCTGATCAGAGGGCACCTGGCTGGGGCTGAGATGTGCACCCTAAGGCTCCTCCCTGGGAGGTTCTTCTGAGTTACCCTCACCCACCACCCTATTGGAAACTCTCCCCTATCTGTGTGGACAGAGGCAGGCAGGGCTGAGCACCAGCCTCTTGACTCAGTGCCTCCCAGGATGGACCTAGGGTGTGTGTGGAGGGGCATCTCCTCACCTCTGTGTGGGTCAGCGCAGGCAGGCATGCCAGTTCTAGCCCCTCCTCAGGATGCCTGCTGCCCACCAACCTACCACTGCCTTGGCCCTGGCAGGGGCCAAGAGATAGTCCAATCTAGTACAGGGTTGGCCTGGGACAGACACATCAATGATAGTTACAGCCACAGCCCTCAGAAAATAGCTACCATATGCCGTCACAGCTCGAGGGACCGAGGAACCAACAGGGTCGGGGAGCAGCCTGCCCACGGCCACCCCGAATCTGAAGGTGGCGGGGGCAGGACTTGAGCTGCGCTGCTCGGGTGGCTCAGGGATCGGCCAGTGGGCAGGTCTGAACTAGGAGGGCAGAGGTTGGGTCTAACTCCGCTACAATGTAGCCCCTCTACCCCTTCATCTCAGGCCCCTGTTTCCTGATTTCTGCTGCCCAGGCAGCCCCCCCGAGGCGCTGTGGGGGAAGGTGCGCCGCGAGGTGGTGCTGAACTTGCCCTGTGATCAAAGCCCTGGCTTACCCAGTGGTGGGAGAAGTCATGGGTGAGCACTGCAGAGCCAAAGGACCGAGCAGGGTTGATACCACAGCCAGTGTAGTCGATCTGGGGGTGGGAAGGAGTGCAGAGAAGGTGACAGGAGAGAGACAGGTGAGAAAACAGAGAGGAAAACCGGGAAGGGACAAGCAGGGAGGGGATCAGACCCAGGAGAGAGGAGCACTGAGCCAGGAAGGTGGCCAGAGGTTCCTGCGTCCCCTCTCCTGGGCAGCAACACCCCTGCCTCAGAGCTGGCCCCCACTGCCCCACAGGACTGCCCACCTGACCCGGCGCTCCCCAGCCCACCCCACGTGAGAAGGCCCTCCACTCACCGCCAGCAGGTGTCCCAGGGCCACAGAGAGGCCGATGGCCAGAGGAGCTGAGCCAGTGAGGTCGCGCCGCCTCCGGTCAGTGGTGGCCAGCACACACAGCACCAGCTGCAGGGTGCCAATGATCTCGATGCCCAGGCCCTGGCCTGAGTTCACACCATTGGCCAGCTGTAGGGAAGAGGAGCAAGGAGGCCTGGTGAGCAGCGAGGGTGGAGGCTATGTCCAGGAGCCCCAGGCCCCTGCACCAAAGGTCAGACCGTCAGTGTTTCACTGTGCCCAGAGGGAGCCAGGCTCTGCCTGGGCACATGCAGCAGGCACCGCTCATCAGTTCCCTCCCACTCAGGTTGAGCATAGCCCTTAGTACCTGCCCGCTCTGCCCTGATGCCTGAGGTGAGGTGGGGGCCTCTGAATAGGTCTCATCCAGGCCCAGGTACTCTGGGGTTCCCAAGGCCATGGGTGAGGGACAAGGCCCAGGTATGGGAGGAGATGGTCAGAGATATTTACAGGAGGCTATAAAGAAGCAACCGGGTCAGAGGGCCCAGCTGGGGACATTGCTTCATGTCCCAAAGTCCAGAACTTTCCACCCCAGCCCATGCCTGCTGCATTTAAATATCCCAAAGTTGGCAGGCACCTTCTCGCACCAGCTCTCCCAGCCCATGGTCTCTCCCAGTCTCCACCCCGTCTCTTCTTCCCCAGGCCAGTCTCTCTCTTCTCCTGATCTAGTCTGTCTCCTGTTTCCTTTGGCCGTGGTCTCCTCTGCGCCAGCTCTGGCCCTCCCCTTCCTCTCTTCGGCCACCAGGTCCCGCCACTACTGTCTGGCTGCCGCTGCACCTAGGCCACTTTTAGAAACGTGACTCACGGAAAAAGAAGGGAATGAGAGCTGCTGTGAGGTCACCAGAGCCCTCTCTCCCCAGCAGCTGCACCAGGAGGACTTTTCCCCTGGAGACCCTACAAGCTGCTCCATCGGATGAGTGCAGAGCACCCACACGGGGCAACTGGGCCAAGTCACAAAGGTTCACTTGCAAAGATGCCCGGATGTGCTAGCTGGGCTGCCTTCTCCCAGGCAGGGCAATGTCCCAACAAGCAAAACCTTCAAGCCTCCCTTTCCAGCTCCCATCCTGAGGGTGCTGGGGTGTCTCAAAGGTCATAGGACATTCTATAAAATCCTAGGTGGCAGGCACACCTCCATTCCTGCAGAGGTTTTCCGAGCCCTGCCTAAGACCATCTTATAAGAACAATTCTCTTCCAGCTTTTGTTTGCCTCGCTGGTTTACAAGGAATGACTCACATCCCCTCCCCTGCCTTGCAGTTCCAGCTCTGGCCCTTTCCTGGCGGACCCCAGTGCTGAGTCTCCTCTGGCCTCCAGTCAGCCCTCTGGACAATGCCTAGTTCTCTTCCTGCCTCGAGATCAGGCAGTGTCTGACTCTCCTTGCTGGCACCATGAGCACAGCTTAACTCTCTTTAGTCCTCAGTATCTCCATCTGTAAAATGGGTCTAATGCTCCTTGGTCACTCTCTAGATCCAGAAGAAGGTCTTGAGAGGGTCCTGAGACCTGCTGAGAGGGGTATTTGGAAAGGGTTGAAGAGGAAGGAAGGACTGTGGTCCTTATTCTGGTTTTCTCATTATCTCCATAGGATATGAGGACAGCAGTGAGGAAGGGCCCAGCCTATGCAGGGATGCAGATGGAAGTGAGGATCCCCAGAGTGGCTAGCAAGGACACACCAGGAGCAAGGACAGTGGTTGGAGGGGAGGCCAGGAAGGCTGGGAGCCCCAGTGAAGCTCAGCTCTTCTCTTGCTCATTGCTCTGCTCTCTAGGGTCAGGATAATTGCTAGCTGGCAGGAATCCTGAAACCATCCCTTCCTTACAAATTCCTGGAGCCACGGCTGTAAGCGGCTCCTGCGCACCCACCCCCCAATTTCCCACCTTGGCCTTCTCCCAGATGCAGCTCATCTTCTCCAGTTCTCAACCAGGACTGAGAGTCCCAGCCCTTGTTCAAAGGCACCACTTCCCATACAAAGGGAGCAGAGCAGGTCATGGTGCCAGGCCCCATGCCCTGAGTCCTTGGGAAGGGGGAGAGGAACCACCTCCTGGGAACTCCAGGAGGTACCCCCTTCCTGACAACCAGGAACTTTGGGCCTGGCAGCCTGCCTCGTCTAACACCCGCTTCCACACCACCAGCGTGATAAGCACCCCCTGGTTTAATCAACTTCCACTGTTGGTCCTTCTTCAACCACTTAATCCACTTACATGTGGGAAAACATAATTAAGAATTAGAAGGTACAGTTAAAGGTCCATAAAAATCTGATGTCCGGGAAAGAACAGATAAAAAAAAATCAACACTTCTTTGACTGTATACAACCTATTAAATTTGAAACAATTGCTCAAACAGGGCCAATCTCAGACATGGTTAGTTGCTAGAGGAAAATTATGCTTATACATTCCCACATAGTTTTGCCTGGCCCGGGGCTAATGTTTTATTGGTTAAATTAAAAATAGTAAAATCAATGTTGTGAATGCAAGTGTGAACCAGAGAATAATCCACACAATTCTTCTGCAGCACCAGAAAGTTATAAATTCTCCATCTGAACAGGAAACTCAGCTAAGCTCACTGCTCAAGGTCCTAGTCAGACCTACCAGCTCCAAGACTCCCAGGGTCCTCACTGTGATGAACTTCTGCTCCGTGCTGCCACGCCCTCCCTGAGGCACCCTCTCCTCATCTCCTGGAGGGGATGATCCCACCTGCCTGCCAGGTGGGCACCTTGCCTGCTTGCATCCTGGAAGCCACACAGCTCCCTGTCCTAGCCTTGGGGGAAAAGCCCACTGTGAGCGAACAGATGACCAGAGAAGGCTATCATGTTCTAGAGCTCCCACCCTCTCTCAAGGCAGCCTGGCTCCAGGCGAGTACTCTGGGTACAGCAGTCTAGCTCACAGACAATAGGGTCACTTGCCAGTCTCTGAGATCTACAGGTTCCTCTGTGCCAAAACTCAGTGAGAGGCCAGAGGGAAGGCTGAGGCCCAGGGAGGAGGCAGCAAAGCCTGGATTCCTGCCCCAGGGTATGTGTCACCTCACACTCACGGGCCAATGTGCTGGCTACCAAGGGCCCTGGCTGTTCCCAGTTTGGACTGAGGAGTTGGCAAAAGGTGGCTGCCAGCTTGTCCCAGGCTCCAGCACTGACCTCTCCAGCCAATGGGATCTAAACCCTGCCTGCCCCTTGAAAGCAGGCCAACCTTCTCAGGTCCAGGGCCCCCAACTTTGTCTGAGCATACTGGCACACCACCCTTGGGAGCAGCAGGCTCCAAAGCCTGGCATGACTGAGGCTCTGAGCATCTGTTCCCAAGGACCAGGGGACAAGAAACATCAAGGTCCTCCCTGCCCACCCCAGTGCCTCCAGGACTCAGTACTGGGAAGCAGGGGAAACCTTGCAGGCCCCATGTCACCTCTCTGTGAGTGTTCACATGTGTACATGCTGGCATCCGTAGTTTTGTGTGCCCCTGTGTAGCTTTATGTATCTGTCTGTTATCTATGAGTGACAATACATGTGCATCCAGGGATGGGCCCTGCGGTGGCTAGCTCCTTTGTTTGACTTCCAGAGATTTATTACACAATAATTCAGTGAAAAATTCTATCAAAGAACTATAACAAGGCTCAATTTGAGTGCATCAAACAACATAGCCAAAAACAAATGAAATAAAAGTTGATAGAATTACAAGGAGATTGGATCAGTTTACACCCAGATTGAAAGATTTTAACAATTCTCCCTTAGAAACTGATAGAATGGGGGGATAAAGAAAGAAACTGAGACAATGAAGCAGTCGACAAAAAATGCTAACAACACGAATTGGAGAAATTGAAACATAGAGATAACAAGCTTGATTTCAGTAAAACAGGACAAACACTGCACCTCAAAATTAAAGAATAGTAAAGAACAGACACTCTTATTAAGCCCGCATGGGCCATTTAGACAAATTGATGAGGTGCTGGCCAGGTACACTGAACCCTCCCTGTGCTCTGAATGGCTGGGGTGCTGAACAGGATGGGTGAGCTGTATGTTCGCACTGGCATATTTGGTGACATTTCTGAGTGTGTCACTGGTGTTACACACCCACATGGGTGCCACTCTTGGCTAGGGAGGGGAGGGGAACGGGGAAGGAAAGAAGTCCCCTTGAGTGAGAAAGCACCAGGTCTCAAAGGGTCCTTTATTTGCTCCCAGAAGCCATTTTATGTTCCTGACAAGGAACAATACACAAAGCAATGGCTTCCCCTTCCCCTCCCTCCTTCTTTTCCTTACTTTGGGGCAGGGAAAAAAAGTCTTCACTGAGGAGCCTCCACCCCAGGATTCTAGCGCTGAGGGGGCCCTTGAGAATGTCCCACATATGTGCCACCACTGTACCACATACACACACATGTCTGAATGTGCACACGGACATGAGTGTGTGCTCTTTGGGGCAGCAAACCATGGCGTAGGAGGCAGGAGGTTGAGGGCATGGTCCTGCCTCACTGTTACTCTGTGCACTCTGACAAGTCCCCTTGCCATTGTGAGCCTCTGTTTCCCCACCAGTAAAACAGAGGCTGTGGCCCAGATTCCAGCCCCAGACAGTCTCCAGCATTCCTCCTTGCCTGACATCAGCCAGACAGCACCAGGCCAAGATCTAGAAGCAGAAGCGCAGAATCCCCCCAGTCCATCTGTTCTGCCACTCTCATCCCAGCAGAAGCTGATGTCACCTCACCGTACCCCTCCTCATCTAAGTACCCCTGAAAGGCTTCCCGGCCGGGTAGATTCACTTTTCACACCCGTAGGGACAGGGAGCTCATCAACTTAGAGGCCACTGCTTCCCAATTAAAAGGTAATAATTCTTTGTATCAAATAGGACCTACGCCTGACAGGACCTTGACTGCATTTCAGACCCTGAGGGGAACTGCTAATGGTGAGGCCTTTTTCTAGCCTTTCTTGCCCACTTTTGGTTATGGGCTTCAGCCTCAGGCTGTGTTGTTCTGAGTGATCTGGAGATCTTCGGATGAGTGAAAGCAGCCCCTCACTTAACCCTCTGTAGGAAAAGAGCACATCTGGTCCCCAGAGAGAGGCCCTGACTGAGGAAACCCCGGCCACACCCAGACCTTCAGGGACAACACTTCGCTGCGCATATCTGCAGGTGTATGGTTCTAAGCCCTGCCATACAGGAGACCCCAGATCCACTTGGTGTTTCCAAAGATCGGGCACCAGGGCCACAGGAAGCTTCTGCCAGCTAGAAATGAAGGCTCCTTTGCCACCAGGAAAAGTTTACTGGCCAACTGCAGGGATGTGTGACCTGTCTGAGAAAGGGCTGTTGGGCTAGCAATACCTGCTGGGTGGGGCCTGGCTGGGAGCAGGAAGCCAGAGAGAGACGGGGCTAGGGGCCACCCAGAGGGTTATGTCCCTGCAGATGTAGGGTCCAGGGAGGAGGACAAGCATCAGGGTGGGCAATACTGACCCTGGTTGTGCTGTCCAGAGGGCTCCACTGGGAGATGCGGCTTAGAACTTTCCATGGTGAGGGAAGTCTCCACCACAAAGCTTTTGCCATCCCCCCTCATCTGTTCTGGTTGGAAACAGTAATTATATGTCCCCACTATGGCACCACCCACCCAGCCCTCCCGCCGTCTCCCCAGGCAGGTTAGCCTGAGCAGGGTCATCGGAAACTCTGGCTTCCCTTTCCCTAGTCCACCCCTAAGCCCTGGAGGAGGTGTCAGGGGCCTCCTTCCTGGGACAACTGGTAACATAGAGATTCTTCTGTCCCTCTAGCTGGGAAAACTGAGGCCCAGAAAACTGGGGCATGGGGAACATTTGGGACCAAGGCCAGGTTGCTGGTGCAGCATGTGGAAGCATTTTCCAAGCACTTAGGCCCTTGAATGAGTGAAGACAGCCCCTCACTTAACTCCTTGGACACAGTAATTATGTGCTGTGGCTATGGCACCACTCTCAGGGCTGAGAGGGACCCTACTGCTGGTTGGTTTACCCTCTCTGCACCTCCAGATGGTTCTGGGAATGCAGTGCCCTCCACATGCAAACACTGGCCTGACCAGAGCCCCCAACCTCACCCTACGACCCTCCATCTGACCAGATCCAATGACCCCCAGCCACAGCTCCTCCTGCCTTCTTGCCTGAGCACACACAAGTGCTCTCCCCAGAAGTCCCTTCCCTCTCCAGGGGTCTCCACATTTGAGCTCATGCAGCATCTCCTCCCTGAATCCTACCTGGCTCTCCTACCCTTCCAGTTCAGAAGTTCTCAGGTCAGCCCAGACGCCTCTTATCACACCTGCCTCCTGCCTCATATCACAGCCAGCTGTACACAGGGCTTATCTTGTCCCAGGACTGTGCTCATCCCAGGGCAAGGAGCCCAGCTGACCCAGCCCTGCACTGAGCACCCAGCAACCTCATTTGGGTCTGCAGGAAGCTGACCAGGGAGGGGAAGAAGGAAAACAGCCAGAGAATGCTGAGACTCCCAGGGCCCCAGCATCTTCCACTTCCTGAGGCAGCCACACCCTTCTGTATCCTGCTCACAGATGAGAACCTGGGCCACATCAGTCCAGTTAGTTCTGTGGAGCCATATAGGATGTCAGTAGCTGAGACAGGCCCGGTTGGCCACCCAAGCCTCAGCCTCTCACTCTTGGCCAAAATCAGGGTTTGGCTCTTAGAACTAGCTGGGACCCTGTGGGGTAGACAAAGGCCTGTGGTCTCTGTAGGGCGTCTCCTGGGTCCTGACTCAGTGAGGAGAAAGTTGTCCCTACCATGTCCCCAGGGGACATCCCCTGACTCATCCAACCACTTCCTGCCACTTTTTCCCCTATTTTCTTTGGAAATCTCCATGCCAACGATTTGCCCCACCCAGATTTCGGCAAGGGTGGGGCCGCAGAACTGAGGGGCTGTGGGAGCCTCCCCCAGAACACGGAGGAAACACTGTGTCACCTGCAGCGTGGACTGTGCTCTGTCCCTCTGGAGTCATTGAGGCCACTCCCAGGCGCCTCCAAGTCCCAAGGCCACTGTCTGAGGGAAGCCCTTTGGCAGGGGTAGGGAGAACATCTCTGCTTTTAAACCCATACCTGAGCCCCAAACATCAATTATCTAGATGGGGCAGGCCAGAGCCCCCACCAGCCTCTGGAAAATGAAAGCTAAGAAGAGGATGGAGAACCGAAGCAGGGTGTGTCCAGATCCAGATAGTACAGAAGGGCTCTGCCCTCCCACCTCCATCCTGGATGCCCACACCAGAGAGTGCAAAGCCTTTGCCAGCAGGTGCATAGGTCCTGCTTGTTCCTTGAGTTGGGAGGGAAAAGAAGAGGCCCGAAGGCCTGGAAGTCTTGACCCTTCCCCCACAGGGAGCTTTCCCCACCTCCATCCTACCCAACCAATCCCCAGTGTGAACTTGGCCCTACCCACAGGAATTCCCTGAGGTCAACTGGCTCTGTTCTTGCTGAAGAGACTGAGGCCCGGGGGACATGGCCCGCTCAAGCTGTCTTTTTGTCTATCACAGCAGCATGTTTCCCAGCTAAAGTCTAAACTCCAGCTACAGAGCTAATCTTCAATCTTGGGTTGAGCAGAGGTTGGCTCAAAAGAGGGCTGGGAAGGTGTCACTGTGACAGAAGAAGTGCTAATCCCCTGTGGCAGGGCCACGACAGCTGCCCTCTGCACCTGACTTTTATCTAGGCTCCTGGCTTCCATCAGCAGGACTGAACTTTGGCTGGAAGACGAGAGCTGTAATCAGCCATTGCCATCTCTGAGAAGCCCTCCCAGATCCTTCAACATCCCCACACCCACCAGCCCTGCAAAGCCCGCTGGGCACGTTTCTCTGATCTGTTCCTCCCCTCTGCTCTTGGTCGGTCTTCTTCCTGGAAAGGGTGCCTCCAGCCTGCTTGCCTGGGAGACACTCTCACTCCCATACTTGGCCACTCAAGCCATTTGCCCCCTGGTGCATCCCAAGGGCATTCAGTGTTTGCACTTGGCTGGGGAGCTGGAAAAGCCTGGGTCAGTAACAGCAGGCAGCCGCCACAAATGGCCACTTAGCTATGCTAAGCACCCGAGGAGCAATTATTTTCAGCAGCTACCACCCAGTCACCAACATCTGCTTCCTATTCAAGTCAGGAGCAGTGGGCACATGCAGTTACACACTCATCCACACACACCCTCACACAGGAGCACAAAGGTGCACATAGCACACCAGCATGCACACACACCCACACCTGCACACACACAAGCACACATGCCACCCCCCTCTCTGCCCAGGAACCATGGGCCCATCCCTTGCCTCTTACCACTCTCTGTCACCCAGAAAAAGTGTCTTCACTCCCCTGCTCTCATCTGATGCCCAGTGGCAGAGGAATTGAGGTGCTCTTTCACCAACTCCCTGAGGGAGTTGATTTGGGGACATGTGTGAATATGGGGGGCTGCCTGGAAGCCTCGGAACCTCCCCAAGGAGGTCCTGCTTACATTCCTGCAGATCCTGCTATGCAGGTGCCCACATCTGCTGCTTTGTGGCTGGGGACAGCAGGTAGAGTTTGCCCAGGGTGCAGGACTGCAAAGGAAGGAGGGGGCTGCCCATGCAGGGCTGAGCAGGGCCAGGAAACTATGGTCTGACCATGAGGAACTGCTGGCCTGGAGTTAGTGCCTCCAGAGCTTATTCCCCACAACAGATGCTCTGCAGGGGACATTGGCACGATCGCTTTTCTCCAGCTCTCATTCCCACAGAGCCTGGCAGAAACCAGGCGAGAGCTGCAGCATAACTGAGCTCCAGGTACAATTCTACATGACCTCCAACAACCTCTTGTCCCCTCTCTTCCTCAGAGTCTCCATCTACACAATGGGCAGAGGGTGGAACTAGTGCCCTCTCTGCACCATTCTAGAGAGCCCCCCACCAAAGCCTAGACTACCCTACTCACGTCATTGCGGCCAAGCGAGTTTTCAGGCAGGTTGGAGGTGATGCCCGAGAGGATGGCGGTGGCGACGATGGCCCCCACGCACTGGGCGATGATGTACATGACCGCCCGGAGGATGCTGATCTGACAGCTGAGCAGCAGCCCCAGCGTGACAGCCGGGTTGAGATGGGCACCGCTGATGTGGCCCACGCTCTGGGCCAGAGTGGCAATGCTCAGCCCGAAGGCCAGTGACACCTTCACGTTGTCCTGCACCGCCGTGTGGTTTCCGTTCAGTGGGTATCTGAAGCCCAGGGCAGAGCCAATACTGATGAAGACGAAGAGGGTCATGGCCAGGAACTCGGCCACCACGGCCCTCCAGAAGATCTTCTTCTTGAACTCGCTAGCCATGCTAGTAGGGGGCTTGGCTTGAGACTGCTCGCTGCCTGGTGCTCAAGTCCCTCCGAGGGCTGAGCCACAGCCTGGGCTGGGCCTATTTATAGGGCTGGGGGGGCGGGGGGAGCACAAAGGGAGGAAGGCCTCTCTTTGCTCCTGGCCCGCCCCACACCACACAGGCCTCCTCTCTGCGATGGATGCAGACTCGGCGCTGCTGTCCGCCTGCCAACTTTTTTTCCTTCCTCCTCTCCCCCTCCCTCTTACCTCCCTCCCTCTCTCCCTCCGCCCTCAGCCCTGCCCAGCCCAGGAGGCAGGCAGGAGGCAGCCGTTGCTCTAATAGGCTTTGGGAAATTCCTCCAAGCTGGCCCCACTCAGGGGGCCAAAGAAATCCAGGTGTCCTGCCCAGTGTGAAAAGCTCAGGGGGTGCCCAGGGGCAGAGCCCGCTCTCCAGAGGGAGAAGGGTGGACGTTTGTGATTGTGAACACCACAGTCCTGCCTGCCTGAAATCTTCATTCCAGCATGGTGTGACATTATTAGTCCTCAAGTTGGTGGCTCCAGGGATCTGGGAGGGGGGCTGTCTGGGCCTGCCATACCCAGCCAGGACCCAGCCCCTACTTGTCACTTTCAGGCGGCCACTCCCACCCCCACCACCGTTCAGGCATAGGCTCATAGGGGCAAAAAGGCCTCGGAAGATGCAGAGAGCTTTGTCTGGGGCTGCCCTACATGCTGTGGTCAAGGGCAGATCTGAGACAGGCCGGAGTGTTGGGAAGCTCCTAAGCCCCAGAACTTAGGAACAGCTTGAACCAGTGATTTGGGGGCACCTTGGGGGAGATGGGGACCGTTCAGAACTTTCCTCTCACAGGCAGTTGAGTTGGAAGGTCACTGACAGACAGAAGGAATGGCAGCCCAAACCAGTAAGGACGGACAGGGAGACGAGGTCTCTCCAGGGCGGATCCTGAGCCCTGACTTAATCAGGACAAAGGTGTAACAGGCCTGTGAACTTCTGGGACAGGGAAGATCATGGAAAGCAGCTGCAGGGAACAGAACTGGAGCTAAGTGGAAAGGAGAAGGAGGAAGAGATTCCTCATGCAGAGGCTGAGACAGAGGCAGGGAGAAGATCCTCGAAGTGAGGGGAGAGAGGGGAAAGGTAGAGTGCAGACAGGCTGTCCAGCAGCGGCAGGAAAGAAGCAGTGCTGCAGACCCCTGTAGTCCAGCCTGTGCGCTGTGCACACCCAGTTAACAAACGGAACACAAGTCTGGACTCCGGGACCAGGGTGCCGTCAGGAAGCCCGGCCCAGCCCACTTGCCTGTCTCATGTGAATGTGTTGAGAAGTGAGCCAGGCCCAGCAGCGGGGGTCCTTCTCTGCCTCCAGGAAAGGCCATCTCCTCCCCTCTCCCTCCTGCCCACCACAGTAATAATCCAAGCACGATGATCCCGTTTGTCTATGGGAAAGTGGGGCTCAGAGAAGGGAGTGCCTTCCCTGAGTCATAGGTGTGCTAGGGGAGGACAGAGACAAACACGTGAGCTGTGTCCCTCCTCCTGTCCAGGGTCCAAGCTGCGGAGAATAACTCCACCTCCACGGACTACCCTCTGCCCAGCTGCTGCCCTGCACGGCCAGGGAGCACAGAGAGCCAAACAGTGGGCATTTGCTGGGAGTGGGCAGCCGGCTGGGGAGCTGTGCTCACCCACGGGCACCTATTACCTGTAAGAGCCCCAGAGAGTGACCCGAGGCTGTTGGCACAGAGGCTGGCAGTCCCTGTCTGCTCAGACTGTCTGGGCAGCCAGAGGTAATCGGTGCGTTATTAACCCTCTGAGAGAGGGAGCTGGCCCAGTGGGCCACTTCCAGGAACCTCCTCCACATCCTTTACCCTGGCTCAGCATTTGTGTCCTGGGAGGCTGCCCTGGCCCCGACACAGCCCTGGGGAGGCTTTCTCTGGGATCTCTGACCCATCTCTCTCTGCAGAGCTGCAGTACTGTCACCGGGAGATTTCAGAGGATAGCCCTGTATCCCCTTCAAGGCAGGTTCCTGGGGACAGGGCTGCAGCATCTCTCCAGCCAGGCTCTTCTTCAGGCCACAGGTATCTGTGTTGTGTTCTTCATTGTTCTGAGCAGTGTACACACCTTCCTCTGCCTCAGTGTCCTGGTCTCTGAGAGCTCCACTCAGTGCAGGGCTAAGATCTGAGACTGAGGACACAGGGATCCAGCCAAGAGAACTCAAGGAAGGCAGCAAGAGAGAGCTGTCCCCAGGCAGAGGCTGGCATGGTTGGGCAGTGGAGCAGAGTCTGGAGTGTCGTTCTGCAGGGCCTGCATCCCAGCTGTCTGTGACAAGGTCCAGGGGCCAGATGCAGAGCCACACAGCTGAGGATTCATGGAATTCTACTGTGCCTGTGGGTGGCAGTCCCTAGGGACTTACTAATAGATCTGACAGATGTTTGCTTAGCCCAGGTAACTGCCAAACACTGTTCTGGGTCTTGGGAAGATGGCTGAGAGCCACACAGACCAGCTCCATGTCCTTCTGAAGCCTTCATTCTGTTACAAGTTCTCAGGGTCTCTGTGTGAAGCTCACACGTGTGTGTATGTGTGTGTGTGTGTGTGTGTGTGTGTGTGTGTGTGTGTGTATACACAAAGGCCCACCTTGCTCTGGAGCAGCCAGGAAGTGGAGGACCCAGGAATAATAGGTCAGGAAGACCCATTATTGCCCAGGCAAATTATGCACACACCAGTCAGGATGATAATAGGCTCCTCAGAGAGACACTTCTGTCATTCCTATATCCTGGATCCCCCTCTCCCTTACCAGCATGGCCTCTGCCATAATACCACCATGAAAGCTCCGTTCCTATGGGTGAAAGCATGCCAACATCAGGAAGCATCATCAGAGTGGAGACATGGCCAGAGACACTACTGCAGACCTCATTTCCCCTCACTCTGGAAGGCTTGTGGGTACTGTGACTTGCCAAGGAAAGGTCGAGCTGGGACTGCCAGCTAGGATCACCTAGTCCAGAGCTAGGATCACCTAGTACAGAGCCCAGGCCCCTGCACACATGGTCACTCAACCCAATTCTGTTGGCCCAGGAGAAAGCAGAAGGGCTGGGTTTACAGACCCCAGGAGATATCAGGTGAGCAGGATTAAGGGACAGCACTGGGCTAAACATGGGTGGACAGGAACACACAGGACTGCAACCCTGGCAATCCCAGCAGCCCAACATCTGCTCCAAGGCAGGCTGCTGTGTCCAGCTCAGCCCCTCCTCCAGTGTCCCACCTTGGCAAGTGCTGTCCCTCCACCCCCTGCTGGCTCTGTGTCCCTCCCGTGGATGCTGGCACAGCCAGGCTAAATAAGGGGGAGCCCTCTGGCCCCAGCTCCTGAGCCCTGGGACAGGCTGCAGGCCACTCAGGCTGCAAGGTTGTTGGCAGCAACAGCTTCAGCAAACGCTTTTCCAGATGTGCCTCATTCCTGACATGCCTGGTAAGACCCACGTCCTGTCCCAGAAGTGGCTGTTCCCAGGATGCCTGAGCTCTGTCTCCACAGGGATCCAGTGGGAGAACTTCAAGTTCTGTCCAGGCTGAGACACCAGCTAAGAGTCTGGAGTGTGGGTTGTGTGGCCACCCAGGGTGTGATCTAGCTGTCCCCAGCCCCAAGCTACTGTTGAGTGCAGGACAGAGAGGCTAAGAAGGAATGGATCCTCCCTCCAGACCCAAAAGGGATTCCTCACCCGCAGGCTGGGCTATGGAAAGCCATAACTCCATTTCCTCCATGAAGATCCGCAAGAGGATGGGGTCAGAGGTAGGAGAAGCCTCACAAAGCAGGTGATATGACTACCCATGACTATCGGCTCACCAGCAGCTTAGATGCGTCCCAGAATTGCTCCAGCTTTCCTGAACTGGGTCAGAGAGTGGTGACTGAGAGTGGGAAGCTAGGACCAAGTCCTGATGGAGCCAGGGAAAAGGGGCAGGCCAAATCAGAAAGCACCCTCCCGGAGAATCCCAACTGACACCCTAGGGGCTCCCAGGTTTGAAAACTTCCCGATCAGGGTGTCTGCTTCTAGTCCTCTCTGGACTCTGATCCTGGACCTGGAAGACATGGCTCTCAGTCACCCAGACAGGCCTTGCCCCCTCAGAAGGCCATGGTCAGAGCAGGGTCTTGGGACCCACCTGGAGTCACCTATCTTGTGAGAGGAGCTCAAGCTGCTCCAGGCCTGGGGAAGTAGAGCGGGGCTCAGGCTCTGGGCACCTGCACCTACAAGAAGCCAGAGGTTCCACAGGCTGTCTTGAACTCACCTCTCCCCCATCTTCAAGCCCTTCTTCACCACCCAGCACAGCCCCACACCCACCCCTCCCTGCTCCACACTGGGGCCCCCGTGTGCCATGTCCAGTGTAGCCATCCTCGTTCGGAGCCCCAGCAGCCCCTCGGACCCCTTACCCACCCCTGAGAGCACCCTCAGTGGAGACCATGCTTCACCAAGTGGGACAGCTCGGTGCTCCAGGAAGCATGTGCCCTGATTCTCCTCTTCTTGAGGGATGGGTACCTCCTCTCCAAGCCTGTGAGCTCCTCCTGTCAGATCACTCCTGCATATTTACACGTCACAGTCACAGGATGTCTCCTAAATCAAAAAAGGATTAGCAGCCCACTAGTGATTCATCAGACAGAACAATTTAGTAATTTTCTGGGCTACTGCTTTCCATTTATATCCCTTCATCCCCACCCTCACTCATCCCTGCCTGCTCCTAGCAGTAGCCAGGTTTACTTACTTTGGGGTGGGGGACAGTTTCATACTTCTGTGTAGGAAGCAGGATTTTCTGTTTTAACGTCTTACCACCGACTCTCCAGCCATAAGCCCTGCTCCTGTGATGCCAGGGAGGATAGCAAACTACAGAGACAAGGTGAAAAATGTTGCCACCAGGCTGGCTGGGGGCTTCGAGCATTTAATGTACCACCAGGGCACCAAGAATTCGGGCACTGATAGGGATGGGCTGCCCGCCTCCACCCCACCCCTGGGCTGGAGAAGGTCTTCCACAAAGGAGTGGAGTCACATTTTCCCCAGCCTTGCCCTGTGAGCGGGACTCCCTGTGGCCCAAGAGGGCGGGCATCCCTGGCTGCAGAAATGG